GGCCCGCTCTCCCCAGCCCTCGGCTGGGAAGTAAGAGGCCGCCCTCCTGGGCCCGGCGGCTGGAGCACGCAGCCTACGTGCGGTTCAGGGTCTGGAAGATGCGGGAGATCTGCAGCATGACTGGGCCCGTCTCGGGGTCGTTCATCCACTGGGTGCTGTTCAGCGGGCTCTCGAGCATGTCTTCAAATGCTGCGGGGACACGACAGGGCTGCCTGAGGGACCGCACCCCGCAGACCCGGACATGGGGCTGCAGGAACTAAAGGGGATGTCCTCTATAGCCAGGGGCCCAGAAACCCCTTCTAGCCACCACCCGACAGTGTCTAGTCTGCTGATCAAGGGAGCTGACACAGGGCACTGCCGCTGGCAGGGCGGGGTGGCGTGCCCGTGCGCTCACGGGCACAGCGATTCTGGAAAGCAGTTTGGCACCAGCTACCGGGAATCTTAAAATAGTGACAGCCTGTGACTCAGTAACTCCACTTCCAGTCCTACCCTGACAAAACAGTCAGACGCAGAAAAGACTTACATAAGGATACTGTTGCCAATTTAATAATACCTAATTGGAAAACTCAGAACGTTCAATGTTAAGGAATGACTTAAGAACAACAACAACATTAAAAACGAGCAGTTCTTTGTAATGAAAACTTTGAATTTCTAAACACTTCCATAAAATGTCCGCCCACAAACAGAGGCGCCCCCAGCAAACAGCTCTACAGCCCAGACACACGCCGGCCAACTTGCTGAAGACTCACCAGCGACCGCAGAGCGGACGGTCGCCCTCACGTCTGGGAAGCACGGCTCTATACCAGACCTTGTCATGTCGGCCCACGTCGAACCATGTCAGTGAAAGTGGTCCCAAGTTTATGGGCTTCATGGGAAGCATTTATTCAAGGTGTTCACAGCTGCTCAGGGCCACAGGGCCTCACCGCAGGGCTCAGCACGAAAGTCTGATTTCATTACGTTTACGACCTGACGCCCCCCGCCCCCCCCCGCACCAAGCCCTCCTGATTAAAATCCTCAGCAAACCAGTTAAAAATATCAGAAAGAGAATCCAGAAAGATGACGTGACGTCTGAGAGAACGAAATATAGCGGGTTTAGCAAAAGTAATTCCAGAAGGGGGAGAGAGCTGCACAAAACGATGAAAAAAGCATTAAATATGAAAACCCAGAGATGAAGATTTATCTGAGGAAGGACTTTCTTCTGCACGTCTCGTGCGTTAAAAATGAAAAGTGCGGCATGCGACCAAGGATGCTTCTAGTGTATAAAGAGCCGTTAACAAAGCTCTGAGGTCAACAAGGCAGCTGAAACACGATGGATGGACGGTGCAGAGGGGACAAGTGAAAGAGCACCAATGGCCAGAAGTGCTCAAAGGAACAGACTGAGCCCCTGGGTCCCTGTGCGAGGAGTGGGGTTGAGGGCGGGCATCTCAGCCGGACAGAGGCCCCATCAGCTGTCAAGACGTCACCAAGAGCTTAAATGTCTGTATTCTTTGACCGGGTCATCTGACTTAGAGCTACCTGTCCTTAGGGAACCGGAGCTGCACCCAAAGAGTAGGTGGAGTAGGTTCAAAAGCAACAAAACGAAAAACAATCTAAATGACCAGAAACAGGGGAACAGCATTTGTTAAATAACGTGACAGATCTATAGAATGAAACACCTGTACCACTAAAATCTCATTTTTAAAAGAGTAAAAAGTGCACCAAGAGAAAAGGCATCAAATGGGATGAGAAAATAAGCAGGATAAAGTTGCCCCGCAGTGTGGCTGCATCTGTTCCAGACCCCGCGGGACCACCAGAAGGAAACCCAGCGACGAGGGAGGGGTGGCTTCTACATCCTCACGCTTTTCTGCGCTCTCCGAATGTTCTGTGATGACTATTTTACTTCATCTAAAGACATAAAGGTCATTAAAAATCCTACCGGAAATGTCTTGAGAGAAGTGTGTAGCTGCAGGGGTGCCCACAGCCCGGTGACCTCACAGGCAGGTCATTCTCTGCAGGCCGGGACTTGGCAACTGCAGGAGGCCTGGGACCCTGGGCCAGTGTGTGTCCTGTCCAGTCACCGACTCAGAGCCTGCAGACTGGGTGGCACTCACTCCGTGTGGTTTGTTTTAGAAATGGGAGAAACACTCAATTTAGCAGATGTAAAAAACCACACGGTAATCTCAATAGATATGGAAAAAGCATCCAATAAAACTGACCACCTATCCATGATTAAGAACTCTTAGCGTCTAAACTGGAGGGAAAGGGGAACTTCCTTAATCTGACCAATTATATCTTCAGAAATTAAAAAAAAAGCCTACAGCAAATCACACACTCAGTGGTCAGGTACTAAAAGAATCGCTTTAGAAAAGGCTTCGGACAGACCCCAGGCAGCATATGTGAATCTCCCGAGGTGGCCAAGGAGCCGGAGGGCGGGAAGATACGCTCTCGGTGTGGAAAGGACTGCCGCGCCTCTGGTACCAAGAACGAAAATAGCCTCACGGGGCTTCCCTGGTGGCGCAGTGCTTGAGAGTCCGCCTGCCGATGCAGGAGACGCGGGTTCGTGCCCCGTTTCGGGAAGATCCCACATGCCGCGGAGCGGCTGGGCCCGTGAGCCATGGCCGCTGAGCCTGCGCGTCCGGAGCCTGTGCTCCGCAAATGGGAGAGGCCACAACAGTGAGAGGCCCGCATAACGCAAGGAAAAAAAAAAAAAAAAAAAAAAAAAAGAAAATAGCCTCACGACGAGACACATCACTAAAGAGTTTGGGTACAAAGAGAAAAATCCCTACTTTATGCCGCACACACGTCCAGGTAGACCACAGACTTCAGTAAGAAACTTTAAAACTACTAGAAAGAGATAAAGGTGAAGGTCTTCCTGACCTTGGGATCAGAGGGCTTGCTTTAAAGATTGACATCATCAGTGAAACCGACACATTCAGCTGCATTAAAATACAGGACATCTGTTCATCAAAGTGATAAATAAAGAAGCCAGAAACCGACGAATAATCTTTGAGATCTAAACGTCTGTTAAAGGATCAGTGCGTGGCAGGCATGAAGTCTCTGAGTGATAAGAAGACGACCCAACAGGGAAAGCAGCCACACGTCAGGCAGAAGGCCTTTCCCAGCGGAGGCCCTAGGAGAGGCTGAAACTTCTGGAAGGGGCTGGGCCTTAGAGATCAGGGAAATGGCCAAGCACGCAGAAGCAGCTGTGCCTGCCTGGGCGACTGCTCTGGGAGGGCCAGCGGCAGGGGTTATGGCTGTGGACGGGGAGGGGTGGGGTGGGGGTGGGTGCCCTTTCTGGAAAGCAGGCTCAAAACACACTCTGGAAAGCAGGCGCAAAACACACACACACACACACACACACACACACACACACACACACACACAAACACACCCCTGGGCTGGCCCGTCCTGCAACAGGAGTGGCCACGGGAGCGCGCAGAGCAGCCCGCAGGCCCGGAAGCCACGCGGGCGCCGCCGGGCAGCAGCAGCGCCGCAGCGCAGTCAGCCACGGCACTGACGTCACCCACGCGATGAAATACTTTACGGCCCTGCGGAAGGTCGGCCCCAGCAGCTGGCCCAGAGCACAAGAGGCGGCGACTGAATGGCCTGCGCACACAGACACCCGCGGCAGCAGGGGGCGGGGGCGCCCCGGGGACTCTAGGCTAAAGCTGGGTGGCAGGAACACGGTTATTAGTTTTATTATTACTCTTCAAAGTTACAAAAATTATGTACGCTTTTGTATTTGTATTTCATCTCACAGTCAAAACAAATGCCAAAGAAACCCTTACAAAGAGTAAGAGCTGCAATCAACCAACAGCCCCTCACACACGGCCCTAACCTGCTGGGCGCTGGCTACACTCTCCCAGACTAGATAATCCACTTTAACTGGTTTTTCACACCTTGAAGGGAGTCACCGCACAAGAGGCTGTCACACCATGAGCACGACCTGATTTCCGGGCCCTACAGTGACTCGGGCTGCAGCCGCCCGGGACCCTGCAGGGGCAGCTGCTGGGGCGTGGCGACGAATAAGACGTATCGTCCAGTGACATCTGTGTGGCAGGCAGGTCCCGCCCCTGCACAAGCAGAAAGAAGGCACACACCTAGTAAGGTTTTAGGGTTGGTCAGGCCCAGCTGCACCACGGGGTTATCCAGGATGGCCTGAAACAGAGGGCTGTCGGGGTCGATGCCCTTGTCCAGCTCCTCAGGAGAGGGCCTGCGGTCTCCCAGCAGCCACTCGCACTGCGAACACAAGAGCAACAGCTGTTAGTGCCCTCCGGACCCCATCAACCCAAACACTGCAGCCAGGGCTCCTGGTCAGCTCCCAGGGCTGCCCTGACCGGCAGGGGCCTTGACAGAAAAGCAAGGCCAGCCCGGACTCAGGTGCTACACACGTCAGGACGGGCCGCACAGAGGAAGCACCAGCCTGGCTTTCCTGGCAGATCCTGGCACCGCAGCGCAACGTTAACGGCTGCAGCTTCTCCAGGCCCTGAACCGGGCGCCAGCTTCACCCGCCCGAGCGTTGGGAGAAGAGGTTAAGACACGCACCGCACACCTGGGCTCTGTCGCGGGAAGCGGCCCTGGGCGTGAGCGAGCACCTCTCGGCTCATCAGTGAGTGAGGAACGGCTAAAGCACAGGCCCGCCTCGCCTCCCTGGTTCCTGTGGGCCAGACTGGCTCTATTCCCGCAAGGGCACCAAGCTGTCGCCCCCAGCCCCTCCCCAGGCAGCCCTCCATCGGCCGCGGGCGCGTGTGCACAGAGTGTAACACAGTCACCCACAGGACGTGTACGTTTTTCTGAAAGGCAAAGCCCAGAATTTTCTCAATATTTAAAAAATCGCATACTGTTTGAACCATCTACCCCATTGTTTCACTTCAAAAGCAAAGTAACTGACTGCAAGGGAAGGTGACCGAACACACAGTGTTCAGGACACACGTGGTGTCACCGAGGCACGGCCTGGTACTCACGGCGGCGTTCTGCTGGTTGTTGTTCACTCTGAGGGCGTCTATCACTTCCTTCTCATCGAATCCCATCTCCATCAGGGAGACGACGGCCTAGAGGAGAAGCCGCAGGCCTCAGTGCCGCGCTCACGGGGGCCCCGGCAGCAAGGCTGTGGGGTTGAGCCACGTCTCACGAGCAGCACCTTGGCAGGGGTATCTTAAAGCAACACCGTGGGGTTTTCTCTCTCAAGACGCTGTTTCCCTAGAGCTTTACTGAAACACTTCTTGGTTTTCTGAACGACAGAGGGACGGAGCCGGGAGGTGGAAGGCGCACCTGCTCTTGGCCAGAGGCTCGCCTTCCCACCCCAGGTCCTTCTAGGTGTGTCCCTGTGACTGTCTGCGTAGACCTGTCTTCACAACCTCAAGCAGCCTATTCCAGAGGGCTCATCATCCAGGACGAGCGTGTCAGAGAAAGGTCACATCAGCAATTCCCATTTGAGGGGACACAAAAATGTCAGTGATTTGTGACACACCTTATCGTTAAAAAAAATGAAACTCAAATTAATTCTGAACGTGTTTAACAAAATTTAAGCCTCAAGTTAAACACATGCTGCTTTTTGGAGGGAACAACGACCCAAGCGCTCCATGTTTGGGGGGGTACACCTTTCGGACAAAAGTCACATAACGACACATTCCTTCACTTTATCCTTGACTTTTATTCAACAACCTTTGAAAGGCTCAACTCTGCCCAAAAAGGTAAAGGCTTCATCAAAGTTTCAAAGGATTCTCTTAATTCCCTGAAGGTCAGACCGTGCCCTTTAAGGCCCTGACGTCATCTTCCCCCAGCTGTCGCACGGATGTCGGCTGGCCTCACGCCGCCGGCCCCTCGGGCCAGCATGTGGATGCTCGCGCGGCCCCGGCACTCTCTGGCCTCGTGGATACCACCCCTTGCACTGTGCAGTCAGTCTGGACTGTTTAAGGAGAGCCCAACCGAAGCAGCAGCAGCTGCGGGCTGATCAGGAAGGTTCAGCTGGAGCGAACGGCGTGCAGTGAGCTCTTCAGAGTCAGCACTTTCTGCTTAGGACCCGCTTCCTCTGCCTTCCGGGGCCACTTCCTGTCTCCAGGGCCCCGTGAGCAATCGCTGGGCGCAGAGCCCACCAAGCAGTAGTATTTTGATATCAAGGTCACATAAAATCGCCCGGAATCTACTCTGAAACCCAAGGATAGGACGGCCTTTGCTGCTGGTTTCAATAAAAACCATCCTCTCTCCAGACTTCTGTCTCAGCCCAGGAAATGATGCCCCAGGACATCTGGGGGTGATTCCAGATGCTCCGCCCGCCTGTCTTCCCAGCACTGGGAGAGGGAACCTGCGCCCACAGGCCCTGCACCATCACTGTCCTGCCTACAGCTCGGGGGGTGCTGGGGGGGGTGTTAGGAGCAGGGGGTGCAAGGCAGCAAAACGTCTGTTTGGGTCTCAAGTCCAAGCCCTGCTGTCCGATCCAGTCTCCTCAGGATCTAAACTAACGTCTGGATCCTTACCGGCCCATCCCCCTGATTGGTACAGGATCAAAGGCCCTATAGCCCCTCAAGCTTCGACACCCTTTTGGGAAAATGAGCACGTTAAGACGGTCAAGAATGACACCCGGAGGAGGAAAGGCCTTTAAGTTGGTGACCAAGACCGTGAACTACCCGGCAGCGGCCCTGACGAGGCCCACGCAGGACCTCCACAGGAGAAAGCGTGGAGCCCGACAGCACAAGGACCCACCCACGGAGAAGCTGCCCTTCCCGAACAGGGGCCCAAGTGCCAGACCGGGGCTGGGTTCCCCAAAAGACTAAGCCAACGAGATACACTTCCTTCAGGGCCGGGAGACTCGCGACTAAAGTAACACAGGTATTTCTGAACACACAGCAGAACTCAAAAAGGGAAAATCCCGAAGAACCAGAAACAAAGGAACAACCAACCAGCCTCCCAGAGGGTGTGCCCTGCGGGGATGGCGGGCACAGGCCTCATCAGGGCGGGGCTGGGGCCTAACATCACACACAGGACACCGACCTTGGGTCCATGCAAGGCGGGGGGCTGGAGCTTCAAACCAGGACCCCGAGCAGGGTCTGCATCCCCAGAGAGAGGGGCAAGGGAAGACCCACACCCCGGCGCGTGGGTCACACTCCGCATGGCCCAGGAGCCCTGCCGGATGGTTAGCACAAAAGCTGGCCCCTGGCTTGGGGTCCCGCTCAACCCCGCAGAAGCAAACCCTGAATCAACCACAGAGGGCACCTCACGACCCGGCCACTGGGGAGTCCCACGGAAACACAAGCCCACAGGTGAGCCCACGATGAGGCATCACACCCTGAGAAAACCAGGCCACAAGCAGAGTCAGGAGGACACAAAGAATCGGAGCCCTAACGCCTGGGGCAGACAGAGCTATGATCTGAAAAAAAAAAAACAGAACATCCTCAAAATATGAGAAACAGCCAAGAAGGTTAAATTAAAATTAAACCTAATGACAGAAGAGAACAGTGAAAAAGAACAGGGAGACGCAAACGTATCAAACATGAGGTAACAATGAAGAGGTGGCCGTAAAGATGCACACTAAGGTCAGCTGGCCAAGTACAGCCAGAGGCACCGTGACCCCGGGCCCTTGAACCCCAGACGCCGGGTTACCTGGTGGCCGGCAGCCTGACCAGCCTCCCCGCTCACAAGACGGTCCCACGAGGTGGGCGGGTGACCCTCCAGTCTCTGGGCAGCACCCCCGACCGACCCCTCGGCTCGAGGACACTTAAAATACAGACAGGACCCGATGGCGAGTTTTTCAGAAGATGACAGGTGTGTGGACTAACTGTTCGGAGGAAAACACAGCCACCTGGATGCCAGTGAGGAAAGCTTCCAGCTGAACCCGGGGACTCGAGGGGCCCCAGGCCTGTCTGCAGACTCCTCCCCCCGGCCTCGCTTCCTACAGGGCCGGCGGCTCAGCCTGCGGTCGCCAACTTCACGACGCAGCCTCGGGAGCCCGACCAGCACCTCTACCTGCCCGACCCAGGCCCGTCAACACGTACCCGGGCGTCTGCGCGGAACTCCCTTTTCCTCCGGATCTTCTTGAAGATCTCCGTCAGCTCATCTCCGGCCTCCTCACCCTCCGCACTGGTCCCGGCGGCAGCAGCGGGGGCGGCCTCGGCACCCGCCTCTCCCTGCAAGGCTGGGCCTGGAAGCGGCGTGTCTATGGTGGGGTCTTCCGCGTGCTCAATCAGCCACTCCATGGCCTGGGGCACCGACATGCTGCAAGGTAAGACGGGCTCTGTGCAGCACCCCCAGGCCAGGGAACCAGGGCCTTTGTTTCCCCAAGAAAAGCCTCTTGGACTTCATGGCTTCCCTACCACGAGCTGCCGACCCCTGTAATGAGAATCTGGCATGTCTGGAGCTCTGGCCCTGCCCCAAACTGCCCTGAGGCCCCGGCCAGAACACGGAAACCCACGGGCAAAGTAAAGGAAACCAAACCCGGGAGGTACACCCGAGAGTTTGGGTCCAAAGCAAAGAAGAACACAGCCCGCTGACCATCCGTCAGTTACAGATGATTTATTTCAGATCTGAACATAAACGAAGGGCAAGTAACTAGAAATAGGAAACTACAGGAGACTGCTGAGGACACCACCACGTAAACTTCTGGAGTTGACCACGGCCCTGCTGTGAGCAGGCTTCGATTTGAGTTCCCATAAAACAACAGCCCAGTGAAATGCACAGAACCATCATCATACGTCACGTTCCCAATACGTGAGTCGATTTCCAACTGCCCTGAAACACCTGGAGATGCCCAGTCACGTTACTTCCGGGACATGCATTTCAGGTCCTCTTTAAACACTCACACGTATTGGAAACAATTCAATCAAAGGGTCTGGGTCCCACAGGGGACTCCACAAGACCAAGCCTGCCACGTCTGGCGAGGGAGCACGTACTGGTTCAGCCGCAGGGCCTTCACGGCTCTGCTCTCGGGAAAGCCCATCTCTGTGAGCTGCCGCAGGGCCGCCTCGTCCACACGGCTGTCCTCGTCCTCGTCCAGCATGGCTGTGGGCAAGACACGGCACTGTGAGGGCCTCAGGCAGCGCCCGGCCGCGCGAGGGGTGCTCGCCCGAGCCCCTTGGGGGGCAGCCGCAGTGTCTGAGCGCCAGGCGTTTGCGGCAAATCTCTCACAGCTCAGAAAAGCCGCGAGGGGACCGTCGGCTGTCGCCTGCGTCAACGCGGGACGGCGGGGAGAGCGGTCCAGCAAGCCTCCCCCCACTGGCCCTTTCCAGGTGCAGCTTGGGTGAGCGTCCGCCCTGGGGCTCGCTCCTACCGTTTGCCTTCTTAAATAATTCCACCGCGTCCGGGTTCAGCGCCAGCAACTTCTGTGCCACCTCGATGAGAGACACCAAGATTTTCCGGAGCTCCGTCTGGAACTGCAGAGAGAGGAAAAGATGCCCAACAAAGCTACTTGGATCTGAGATGACATGCCCTGTCCTAAAATTCCAGATCTGTGAGTCACACGATGTCCAGATAACTGAGGAGAACAGGAACGAAGTGTCTCAGGAGGGCGGGAAGGAGAGGCTCTGGCTGGCACAGAGTGACGCGGCCTCCCGCCAGTGACACAGACACACCAACACCTGGTGATGTCACTCAGCCCTCCAGCCCACGAGGAAGGCGTCTGGCCCACTGGTCACTAAGTGAGCTGAGAGCCCTCCTCTGGCTTCACTGAAGAAAAGTGACCGATTCCAGGGGCTCCACAGACACAGGTCTCTAATTTTCACCTGCAGCCGATTCATCTTCTCAAAAAGAGGGGCTGCTGGGACTGTCCCTAGAACCACCCCCCTCACCAGCTCCCTCCCCCAACCCCCATAAGTGCCGGCCATCGGGAGAGATACACGCACACACACACACACACACACACACACACACACACACACACACACACACACACACACACACACACACACACACACACACACACACACACACACACACACACACACACACACACACACACACACACACACGCTGGGGAGAGACAGGTGTGCCCGGGTTCCAATGCCCTGATCAACAAGGAACTCTCTGGAAGAGACCCCGGAGAGGCATGTTCCTGAAGCGAACCAGCATGGGGCAGAGACGTCCGACCCGCCCTCGGTCCCGGGGGCGGCCGCCCCGCTCCTGCCCAGCCCTCCCTCTGGAGCACTGGGAACACCCAGCCTTGCTAACGCAGAACTCTCCGACCCAAGATAAACAAGAGTCAGATTTCCCTCTGGAAGCTTTTTACCAAACTCAGGACAAAACTAACATTTTTCCCATAGTATCTATCCTTCCAGTCCTGCCTTTCAACGTCTTTTCAAACTTTTTATTTTGAATTAATTTGTTTACAAGAAGCTCCAAAATAGTGCATGAGTTCCTGTGTCCCCTTCGCCCAGCTCCCCAGGGGCTTCCGGGAACTCTCGCAGCCCCACGCGGTGGCAAAGGCTCCCAGGCGGTGGCCACAGGCCCTGCGGGCACTCACGTCTCTCATGTTGGTCTGCACCACGGCCCGGTCCATGTCGTAGGAGGGCAGGTTGGCGGTGGCTCGGAAGATAGCATCTCTATCCGGGGCTTTCTGCTCTTGTTTTTTCTAACAGAAAAGTAATTGGAAAGTCGGAAATGAGTAAAGAGCACCAAAAGGCCAGATCACGTTTGCTGAATAAATAGCTCTAACCAGGGGACGAACGAGTGTCCTCGGGAGCTGGAGCCATATACCCCTTGATGAGCAGGGAGGCTTCTGGAGAGTTCTGTGCATGGCCTCAGGGACAGACAGGGGACACAATCGCAGCCTGCTGGCGCTGGAGCGTGGCTGTGCGGGACACAGGGAAGACAGACACTGTCTCCTGTGGCCACAGAATGACCATCACGTGGGAGTGACGGCCGGGCGGGTGATTGCAGAGGACCACGCAGACTGGCCGAGAACACGCGCTCACCTTTGCTCCTTCTGGAACCCCGCATGCGATGGCGAAGGAACAGAGATGGCAGAAACAAAAAGAATAAAGGAAATACAACTGGGAGAGACAGCACCGAATTCTCAGAGGACGGCAAACAGCTGGAAGGACAGCTGGAAGGATGAGGCCGAGTGCGGGGAGGACGGCCGGCGGAGCCCGGGGCCCGAGGGCCAAGCCAGAGGGGGCGGGGCAGGGAGGGGAGCGAGCTGCTGGAGCCGAGGAGCCCGAGCCACGGAGCCCAGGAGCAGGGGCGCTGTCCTAGCCCCACGCCGCTCGGCTCCCGGGACGCTGGGCAGGAGGGGCGGCCACGACCCGCCAGGCACAGAGCAGCCAGTGAGCTCCCAGGGCCTCTGACGGGGACGTGAGGAAAGCCTGCGACGTGAACGACAGAGACCAAGACAGAAGCAGGAAAAGTAAGAGAGGGTGAAGGGGAGAGAGGAGCCTGAAGAGAGCGCCTGTGACACGGCACTCAGAGGGCCAGGGGCACAACAGGACGCTGCGACAGGCAACCTGAGGACAAGCGTCTAACTGGGAAATTTCAGCATCTCTCAGAAAGCAGGTCCGACATCCAACAGGAGGTCCAGAAAGAGAAAAGACAAAACGCGGGGAGGAAATCAACCAAAACAATCCAGAAAACTTCCAGAAACTCCAGCTTCCGTGTGCCAGGCACAATGAATGGGGAAAGACGTGCAACAAAGCGAGCCATGAAATTTCAGACCTCTGAACAGTTACCAGGAGATCCTAAAAATTCCAGATGGAATCAGAGAGGAGGAAACAGACCACGCAGAGGAAGGACAAGTAGAGCTGACCGGCTCCCACCCGCCACACAGACACCCTGGAGACGGGGCCAAGACCTCCATCGCGCACGCGGCTGGCGCTCGCTCAGCAGCCACCGAACGCTGGACGCGGGACCTCCAGACTCCTGCCCTTCCTCGAGGCTGGAGCGGGTCTAGTCCCAGCAAACCAAGAACAAGTCAAGAGCAAGACGCGCAACCCCACGGCAGGCACAAGGCGGAGACGGCTCCAAGACACCCCACGGCCCTGCCCCTGGCAATCACGGTTGCACGACCCTGGGCCTGTGGCGGGTGGATTTCACTCTGGGGTTAGGTCACATCACACAGCACGGCGACCTGAAGGACGTGACCCTCGGTGGGCCAGACCTAACCAGGCGAGCCCTGAATCAGGACGGGGCTAACTCTGGCCATCCAGATTCAAAGCAAGAGGGATCCAACGCGTGAGACCTCCCGCGGCTGGCTCTGAAGACGCCCTCCAGGAGCCGAGGGTGGCGCTGGCTCACAGCCAGCAGGAAAACAGGGCCCCAGCCCTCCAAATCGCAGGAACTGGATTCCGCCAAACCCCTGAAAGAGCTGGAAGCAGAGCCTCCCCAGGGGGAGGCAGACCTGACAGCAACTCCCGAGCTCAGGGCCCAGCTGAGCCCACCCGCCGTGGACCCAGTGAGCAGTGCACCACTCGGGGCTGCTCCGAGCTGGCAGGCCTGCGGTCAGGGAACACGCAGACACGGGGGATGCAGGAGGACCTGCACAGAGGGAGGCAGGCCAGCCCGGGCTGCACAACTGATGCGGGTGGACGGACGGACGGACGGACCTGAGGGGCATCTTCCAGGAAGTGGGAGCGGCAGATGGCCTCACACTTGTGACCCTGTTTTCAGAGGGGTTTATCAATTTTGGAGCAGAATCTGAAATATCAGTGATAAGCCTACAGAGAACAAACAAAACAAGGAAGCAATTACTGACTCCAGGAAAAACAAAATTCTACGTAAAGAAAGGACAGCTAACCTTAGCAAACCGCTCACTGCAGAAAGCAACACTTACATAATGGTAACAACAACGGGGACTCCGAATCTTTGACCAACGTTATGATCTGACACTCGTGGCAAGAGCTAGGGGGGGAGGCTGGGGGAGGGGCTACCCAGACCACCAAGCAGCAGCCAATAGTGTCTAAAGCTGAGAATCCAAGAAATAACAATAAGACGTGTTGTTTAGAAATCAGAAAGAGAATCACAGTGGAAAGAATTACAAGTGATTGCCTTCCGAGTGCGTGGCCCAGGACGGATAGGAGGCTACTGACTTTTATTAGAATACCTGTAGTATTATTTGACGTTCTAAATACACGTGCTACTTTGACTTTAAAAATTAATAATTCACGAAAACGGACGTTAACGTTTTACAATATTACATTTTACAAATACGCACAGAAAAAAAGGCGAGGGCCACAGCCCTGCAAGTTACCCAGAGCCGTGGGGGTGATGGGAACCCGCTGTTCACAGTCACCAAGGTTCACATTGTTGCCAACGACCAAAATGGTAACCCGAGAACTGGATCCACCCAGCAGTTCTGGGAAACAGGGCTGACTCAGGGGCAGGCCCCGACGGAGTGAGCAGCCGTGCCCGCAGCCTGCCATGCGGAGGCAGGTGTGGCTGCAGATAAGAAGGGCCTCCTCCCGGCTGCCTGGCCCACAGGAGACCCAAAATAGCTCGTTCCGCCACCAGGCCCGGGGCCCGGCCCAGAGTCTGGCCTGCTTTCTTCTGGGGTGAATGCTCCCGGGCGTTCTGAAGCGTAAGTAAGAAACACTACCCCTGGAGCCAAGGAAAGACGGGCGTTCACGTGGCTGCCCCCCAGCACGGCACTGCTCTGTCCCGGGCCTCTGGCCTCAGAGCAGGAAAAGGCCTGTTGACAGAGCACATCTTCCACGTACAGATGAGCCTCCTAAACCAGGCTTTCTGAGGAGCGAGCTTCCAGGGCGGCCACTACACAGGTAACGAGTGGCATGGTCTCCCCAGGGCGCCTGCGTCAGAGGGAGGACTCGGCCAAGTGGCAACTCCAAGGACCGACTCCGCGACGGCCGGCGCTCCCGGGGGCCTTCGCTGCCGCCCCTGCGCCTGTATTCCTTGCTCTGTGGGTGGTCTTCAGCGACTTCCTAACTTTCTTCTGTCAGGACTTCCTCGAGGAGAGGAGGGCCGGGAGCTCAAGATTAACCCGACCCGAGAACGCGCCGCAATCTCCTCTCTGCAGCCCCCAAAGCGCAGCCGGCCATCAGACCAGCCACCAGGAAAGGCGTCGGTCAACTGGCCAACCAGCCACAACAGAAAACCCCATGACCGTGCCTCCTGTGACCACGGGACCGGCAGGGTCCACAGACAACCAGCGTACAGATGTTTCTTTTCACGTCTTCAATGTGGGAGACCTCCCCTCACATCGATATCCACTTCCCAACTCTGAAACTCACCTTTTCTTCTGCTGAGACATCAGCCATCTTGGGCAGCGGGGCTGGAGCACGCTTTTTGATCAGCAATAAGACATCTGGGAAAAAAGTGCGCCGTGCTGGTTATTATCTCACATCCATAAAGTGGCATAAGGGGTGCCAGGTGACGCAAGGACCAAAGAGCAGGGGTCCCCTCTGGGCCCCTCTTCCACGGAGCGTCCACACAAGCTGCAGCCTCCCTTCGGCTCCCACGTCCGCCGGCCCTGCTCACCTAAGGCTCAGGCCTGGCAAGAACCTGGCTGAGGGTCACCAGAGGGGCCCGGCATTCTTGTTTTAAGGGCTTTTCTGTTTTGAAAGTCTGTGAGGTCGGAGCATCTGGTCTCACCCTCAGAGCTAAGCACCTGGGGTGTGGTGAGGCCACAGTCCACAATGTGGTCAGCGCCCAGCTGGCTCTGGGCTTGCCAACCAGATGCTAGGGAGGTTTGCAAACGATATTCCAGTATTTCCAGAACAGATTACTTAAGGGAATCCCACAATTAAAATCGTGCTTGCCTCCACACACAAACCTCTGAGTGAATAAATGGATGTGTGTACGTTAGAGCATCTTCCTAGATGTCTGAAACGACCGCCACAGCTGTACTTTCCAGCCCCCAAAATAAAGCCTGCAGCAGCTCTGGGGACCTTGGTTTTGCTTGGAAACAGAATCAATAACAAATTTCAATTTGGTTTCTCAGACGCGTGCTGCTCGTGCAGCCTCAGGGTCTGCTGTCTTCTTCCAGGGCGCACACTTTGTCTCCATAAAGGAAAATGAAACCGTGTCCCCGACGCGTCTCCCTGCTCAGCCCCACTCGGGGCGTCCTCGCTGAGGGTGCCGCACCCTTGGCCGCTCCCGGCCCGCGGGGCGCCCTCACCTCCGTCCTGGACGTTTTCCTCCAGGAGGGTCCTGGTGTCACTCAGCACCCTCTCCGAAGCGGCGTGCATCAATTTGCGATGGGTCACACTCTTGGGGTCTTCTAAGCTCCCACGAGTGCACTGGAAGAAAGAACCAGATCAATTAATTAATGATAGTAATAACACAGGACCTGACACCCGAAGCCGCACCAAGAAGTTACTGGTTTCCTTACGAGCTAAGAAATTAAAGCAGAGATGAAACCAGAGAATCCCTGGCAACGGTGGAAAAGCCAAAGGAAACGCCGCAGCACCTGGTCCCCGAGGGCAGCACTCGGCCACCAACCTGCCAAGTGCTGGCAAACAGGCTCACGGCTCTGACACAGAACACCCTGCTGGCCATTAGTGGCTACCCGAATTGCTTCCTTAGTCTAGAAGTATCTGGAGGGTGATTTAAAAGTGAAAATAGCAGCGCCGTCATTTCCCAAGAACCTAAAGATTTAAGTATGATTTGTGCACTTGTTTCCCTCCTTCCAAGGTAAACGGGAGGGAGCTGAGAGAGACGCACAGCAGAGAGAGGAGGCCGGTCCATGGGGGCAAGAAGTAGGGGCCTGACCGCCTAAACACCCACAAAACCCCGAGGAGACACGACTAGCCTCGGCTCGGCCCCCAGCTCACCAAGCGATGGCCACAGAGACCCAAAAGCAAGCTACAGATGTGGCTGGCGGGGCCCCTCCTGGGAGCCCGAAGGGGCTCACCTGGTACGCGGTTGTGTCCCACTGATCAGCGGCCCACAAACCCCAGAACACACACTGAGGGGGTGATGCTAAAGACCATGCTGGAGGGAGGCTGCTGCGACGCCGGGGACATGCCCACCCCAGGGTCCCGGTGCCAGGGTCCTCACAGCCTTCCTCAGTTAAGTGGGGCGGCCTTAGCGCCTCCGTCTGCCACCAAAGCTACCCTGCACACGTCACTGCTCCCCCAAAGAGAGAAGCTAAGCCTGTGCTTCACCTCTCAACACTGGCGTTTCAAGAGCAACTGGAGTTTTCAGCAATCTGACGCTGAAAACAGGAAAGACGGATCGTAAGGGAGTCAGGGCAGTCACAGATGCACACAAAACTGGGGCTGGGGGGTGGGGGCGGGGACAAAGGTGGAATCCAGCCAATAGTAGGACACACTCTGACCGTTTATGATGGAGAACACCCGCCTCCCTGGAATCTCACAGTGGCCCTGCTCCCAGGGAGGCAGGGTGTGCTGCCTCTAATTCTAACATTCGCGGGCTAACGGCTGACTCGCCAAGTTCATAATACAGTCTGTGAAACACAGTTTTCCAAAATAATCCTCATGCTGGTTCCTGAAAAAAACTGTACCCTGCAGCGCGTCAACAGGCGCCAGGAACAAAACATAAGCATGAGGCATCCATACTAGGCATGATTACTTCACTCTTTGTTCTCAGCAGAAGCAATGGAGCAAGCTGGGCTGTGATAGCAAAAAAGCCCCAGCAGAGCCCATCGCTCGACGGGGGAGGCTCTGACACCCACCCAGTGAACCGCTTCCTCCCCAGAAGAGCAGAGACTAGTTTCTCTCCCCCTTGATGTCATGTGTCACCTGAAGATACACCTTCAGTGATCTAAGCAATGTTCATAGCCGTACTAACAGGTTACGTACTGGCAATTTCATGCAGGTTTACCACACACAGAAAACACCTACCACATCGTAGATGTAACTCTCTTAAAATCATGAACCTCCTGTTATACAAGGTGGTTTACTTTGCCCCTTTCTCCAAGCTTGGGCTAGAGACCACCATGGTGGTCCCAATCTATATAATACCAAGAAGGGAAAGGCTACAACAGCAATCAATTTCTGTAAGAGTTATGATAATAAACCTTCAATAATAAAGCAACTTTATTAATTAAAAATATATACATAATAAAAATGTATAAAAAATAATAGAACTCGCAGGAGTACCGTGGGGGGAAGAAACCCACAGTGTCCTCTCAAGGTAGAGGGGAAGGAGGAAGGAAAAAAGAAGGCAGCAGGGGAAAGCCGGGAAGGAGGGACAGAAGCAAAGCAGCGACACCACTCAGGGACTGGTTTCCAGGGTGACATTCAAGTCCACAACTTGAGAACTCTCTTTCCTAACTGAAGCCTGCTGATGGGCTCCCGAGGCAGCGAACGCTGCCCGCAGAATGGGATGGGCACGGAGGTGGGAGTACTTTCTGACAGCTCGGCTCCGAGTCCCATAATTTATGTCGGCTCTTTGGTTGCGAAACTCCCCTGCTGCTCGGGTCTCTGTACCTGGAGAGATTGCAGAGTGGATAAAATCTCAGGTCAAAGCAGGGTAATGCCAGAAAACATCCCAAACGATACATCCCAACAGCAACGGGAATAACCAGTATCAGGAACATAATAATTAGCACCACGTGGAGACTGGCTGCCTCATTAACCCTGAGTGTGCTCCTGAAACCCCTCAGCAAGTGTCCGTGAATCAGAGTTCTCCCTTCGTTCCCCTCCATAAAACAACGTCAGGACAGTTACGCCAATCCTTTACCATCAGTGAGTTTAACTCAGCGCCACACGAATTTACCCACTCGCTTCTCCTGGCCTGACTCGGCAAGTGACATGCCACGGCCACGCGCTTCTGGACTGACAATCTATTTCCTTTTGCAGGCATGCCTCGTTTTATTGTGCCTTTTTGCTCTATTTCGCTTCACAGATGCTGTGTTTTCTACAAACTAAAGGTCTGTGGCAACCTTGTGTTGAACAAGACTACTGGTGCCATTTTTCCAACGCCATTATTTTTAAATTAAGGTATGTGCATTGCTTTTTTTAGACATAATCCTATTGCACACATAATAGACGGTAGTGTAAACATAACTTTTATATGCACTGGGACATCAAAAAATTCGTGCAATTCGCTTTATCGTGCTAGTCGCTTTGTTGTGGTGGTCTGGAACTGAACCCGCAGTATCTCAGCAGTGAGCTGGTATTAATCCACACGTTTGTTATGGGCCCACCAAGAGTCTGGCCCTGGGTGTGTGAATACAAATCCAGCCCTCAAGGAGCTTCCGTCCTGAGTGGGTGAGACACAGCATCTCAGGGAGGTTTTTAAAAAATGTACCGGACAAGCAACGAGCCTGGCTCTAAGAACCTGCATGCTCATGGAGCTCCCAGCCTTGCAGCTTACTGCTGTCGTGGTGGTTTTCTAGATGGTGAAATCACCTGACTGGCTCAGAAGTAAAAGAAGAAAGCAGCCAAGTGTGTGAGCCTGGATCCCCCTCCCCGCTGATGTGAGACTGAGACTGTTATCCACATCCAGCGCGTTCCAGAAGGGGACTGCCAACCAGAACGCTCCCTGGTCTGTCGTCTGACAGTTACAGAACACCTCCACAGAACCATACTCCCAAGAGGGACCCAACAGTACTTTACAGGCAGTCACTAGAACAGCAACTGTACGTTTATTCTTGGAGACCACACTAATAGATACATCACTTCTCACATGGAACGCACACTAAGAGGCTGTGGCCTCTTTGTCCTAAATTCCGACATGGAGACACTAGACGGTGCGAAAGATCGAGTTTCCTTAGGCAGCCCGTTAGATAGACGGCTTGGCCTGCCACACGGAGTCGAGAAGCTTACAGAGGTAAAGCCAAGAACTACTTCCAAAAACTAGCACCCTAAGGAACTGGACAAGGAATACTTCGTGGGAACAAACTTTAGAAAGTGGCCCTCTCGGCGAGAAGCCCCTTCTCCCGGACCTACCCACGCAATCGCTGTAAAGGCCGCCGGGAAGCAGGGGCGCAGGGACGAGTCCCGCGGCCTCACTGTTTTAAGGGATTCCAGCTACGGGGCACCAGTGGCCAGGGCCAGGCCCCGGCCCCCATGCCAGCCCCAGGAAGCAGCTCCAAGCAGCCGGCTCCGCAGCTCAGGAGAAGGCGCCTCTCCCGTGGGTCCCTACTTCCTCGGGCACTAACTCCCAGCTCCGGGACCCGCACCGCGGCAGCAAGCGCGGATGCTGGAAACGCTAGAGGCCTCGCTCCGGCGGCGACTTCGCCTCTCCCAGCCTGCGCTCCCGACGCGCCCCGCCGCCCGGGCTGTCGTCGAAGTTAAACCAGAGGAGACAGGGTAAAGCGCCCAGCCTGGGACCCGGCTCGCGGAGGCGCGTCCAGAGGGTGTCGGGGGCGGCCGGGAAAAGGGGCGGAGGGAGGGGGAGGCCTGGAGCCGCGGCCGGCCTTACGTGCTTAAGGCAGCGCTCCTTGAGCTTCTCCACCGAGGTGTCCTCGGTCGCCTCCTCCAGCCACTCGGCGCCGTCGGACGCGCAGACGTGCAGCCGCAGAACCTTGCCCGCGAAGATCTTCTCCTCCTGCACGAACATCGCGCCGCCGCCGCCGCCGCCGCCGCCGCCGCCGGGGCCTGCGCCCGCCGCCCGGGCCCTGAAGGTCACCGGGGCGGGCCGGGGGCGGGGCCAGGCCGCCCGCGCGCTCCCTCGCTGGCCGCCGCCGCCGCCGCCGCCCCGCCCCGGCTCCCGTCGGCCGGGCGCCCGCCACTCGCCGGGACCCGAGCAGTCGCTGCGCCCCGCCGCCTAGCCGCCGGGGGCGCGCTGTCGCCGCCGCGCAGGAAGTGCGTCACAGGGTGCGCCCGGAGCACGCCGGGAAGCGTGGTTTTCCGGCGGCCGCTTCGGCGTCGCCGCCGCGCAGGAAGTGCGTCACGGAACGCGCCCGGAGCGTGCCGGGAGGTGTAGTTCTCGGGCCGCTTCCTTCGTCCCGCACCTGCGTGCGCTCTGCGGTGCGGGCCGGCAGCCACGCGGGAGCCGGGAGCTTGCGAGTCCGTTTTGAGATGGGATCTTAGTGTAAAGTACACACCGGATCTTGAACAGTTGGGAGGCAAAGAGCATGAAAAATACCTCAACAATGTTTATCCGTTGGCTACATGTGGAAGTAATAGGATGTATAGGGTTAAATAAAGTATATTGAAATCGATTTCACCTGTTTCTTTTCCCTTTTTAAAGCTCTGGCTACCAGAAGATTTTAGATTGTCTATGGCTGCTGTTGTGTTTCTTTTGGACTGCATTGCCCTAAAGCAGAGTCTCTCTTGAGTGTGGCCCCCAGACCAGCAGCACCTGGGAGCTTGTTAGAAATGCGGGGTCTCCCGTCCCACCCCTATTCCCGCTATCATGGACTCCAGGGTGCTGCCCAGCGCTCAGGCTGCAGAACTGCAGAGGCACACTCAGACGGGCTCGTGAGCACCCACATGGAAGGAAGCTGACCTGTGCACTCAGTACACTCATTTCTGTGGGGTGACAAATATAAACGCTGCAGTTTGGGCCAGACCTAGGCCAGGTGACTGACCTGCACTCTCCCATCTCACTCATTCAAGAACGTTTGCTGAGCAGAGATGGATACAGCACAGTTCCTGTTCTCGGAGTCTGGTGGTCCCGGCATCTCACGCCTTCACCATTTTATACACACCTCATTTCCCCTATGACCATTGCGACCATGTCCAAATTCCTTCTGTCCAGTTTAGCCCCCAAGAGCCAGACCCTCTGCTGCTCACCGAAAACATAGTCACGATTAAGGCTAGAGACCAGGATATAGCCTGGGAATGGGCATTCTCACGCAGCAGATACAAGTGCTGGCTGTGGTGCCGACACGGTCTCAAAAGACAGGAGACCATGGGGGCAAGATGGGCCTGGTGGGGTAGCACCAGGGGAGCTTATGGGGCACAATGGCGTGTGAGGCTGAGGAGGAAGAGAGGAGAATGATAGGATGGGCAGAGCCCGCGGAGCGCGCTGGGACGGAAGGGAATGGGCTGAGGGAAGGAGACAGGAGGACGGGGAGGATGGGGCGGGGGGCAGGTGGAGCCGGGTCAGCAGAAGCTCTGCGGAAGCATCTGGCCTTGGCCGTGGGGCTGTGGGGAGCTGCGGCGTGGAGGTGGTGACCGAGTGAGGTGGGGTAGGAGGAGGACAGGAGGGGGCCTGGAGGCAGGAGGCAGTCAGGAAGCTCCCACACGCTTGCAGAGGAGTGATGCGGCGTGGGGGTGGGGTCTGAACGGCGCAGGGAAGACAGTGGCAGGAGGACGCGAGGTGAGCCTTGACGGGGCGGGGGCAGCTGTAAACAAGAACAGAGTGAAGAATGACAGGAATGCTTCCAGCTTGGGTGACAGGGTGCAGCCGCGCCACCTCCTGGAGGAGGGGGCGCCTCCGAGAAGGGGGTCGAGCGCAGCCTTGCACCTGCTGACCTGGGTGCGCAGGGGGGCTTCCGGGTGGAGGTGGCCAGGGGCAGCTGAGTGTGCAGGGCTGGAGTCAAGGGCAGCTGTCAGCTCGAGGGCAGTGGCTGAGACTGCGTTCCCCCTGCCCCCGCTCCACGTTACACAGAGTAGCCTGCGGAGAAAACTGAGGGATAAGGACAACTTGAAGCTCTGGTTGTGGCCCCATGGAGTCCAAAGCGGGGATTTCCAGGAGAAGATGAAAGCCTGTGGGAGAACTGGCGATGCCTCCCATGGACTCAGAGAGACTGTCTTGGGGGCCAGGTATAGCTCCGACTGCTGGGGCGATGGGGGCTCCTCGACAGTGGGGTGTCCCGGCTCTTGTTGGCGTCAGTGGCCTCTTTTGTTCCAAAGTCATCTTTTTGCGTGTGTGGGATGAAGGCCTGGGGAGCCCACTTCCTTTCACTATGTCAGTAATAAACCGCCTGGATCCAACAGCAGCTCACGGGGCCTTTATCAGCCGAATCAGCCAGGATTTGCGTGCCCAGTACCCTTCATCCGTTGAGTCTCCACTGACTTACCGATTCCTGACCTTGCAGCCTGTGCAAACCCAGCCCTTTCCCTAGAATGCAGGACCTCCTCCCTCAGGAAGACCGCCCCGGTTGCCCCTCCTCTAGGGCACCACTTAGCATGCTGTGAGTTGCCCACCCCTCTAATGGCTGACCCTGTTGCCAGAGCAGACCCCTGCAGGCTGGATGTCCTTAGTGATGTGTTGACAAAATATTTCTGAGGAGCCTGGACGTAAATAAGTGGTCTCCCATCAGTGGCACCTCCTCCCCGGAGGAGAGGCCAGTCAGCGATGAGAGGCCAGCGGTGGGCCTGGGGCAGGGCTCCCCTCCCAGGCTGCACGCTCCCCAGCCGCATCCACTGGGAGCAGTGGTGGGTGATGTCCTAGGACTCCCTGGACATCCTAGGTGGGTTCCTTCCCTTCTGAGCCTCCATCTCCTCTAGTACATAAGGATCAGGCTTCCATGTGGACACGGAGAGGACGCCCTTCAAGGAAGGCCCAGCTGCCCAGCTTCGGGGAGTGGTCAGCAGACGCCGGGCCATCAGCCCCTCCTGCAGTCTCGGCTGCAGAGAGTGGCCTTGTGAGGTCACGGCCCTCCCGGGTGGCTGGCCTAAGTGGCGTGTAAAGACCCAGACACTTCCCGTCAAGGGGAGGACCCGGCCCAGAGCTGGCCTGCAGCCTCCCCGCCCCATCCAACAGGTGCTGGTCCCTAAAGCACCTCGTGCACCTGAACTCAGCCTTGCTTCCCAAGACCCCACCTGGCGCACTCACCTGGCTGCCCAGCGTGTGTTTATTTAGTGCCTGCTATGTGCTGGGTGCCACTTTAGGGACTGGGGGTGCAGCAGGAA